CTATTGTGTTGTGTTGTAATTCAAATTCTAGATGTTGAAAAGGCGAGAAAAGATACCTAAATGAGATTCAATTTACTATTGTTTAAAAATTGGAACAGTTTTTTTCTCTCTCTTGAAAAATGTTGCATTCTGGGTATAGTACATTTGAACAGGTTGCTGACGAAACATTTCACTGATTCAGCCCGCAGTGACACTCACGCTCACAGCGGCTGACGACGGTCTCTTGTGATTTGCCACCGAACAGCTAGGAGTGACTTTTTATATCGTTCCCTTTTTTCGCATTATTTTCCTCCCTCTTTTTTCCTTACCACTTACATTTCAACCCTTTCTGCAGGTGTCATAGAATAGTGTTTCTATTCTGAAGATATCTATAAGCCGCATATATGGTCTTATCAAATAAAATTTAGATACATATTTCTTTTTAAATTTTTGTGAGACGACCAATAAGGTCACGAAGCGGTTACAAATTATTTGCATCATGAGTCAAAATTACCTGTTAAAAAATCTGGAAACAAAGTTAAGTTGTCAATACTGTGACAGCTTAAGATTGATGATAAAGATGGGTTCACAGCCAAATGTCGCCATGGGAACAGCAGTAAACACAACACATCAGCTGAGAGGCAGTCATAAATAAATGTGAGGCAGCGTGGTGGAATCAGGCTCTCGTCAATTTTGGGGCATGTAGAGTTATTGGTATCATCTTAAAGCTTGTTTACTGTCTTTATTTGGATGAAAAAAATATCCATTTATCTTGAATACAAGTCGAGATATTTGCGAATGAAAGAGGTGGGAGTCACCTGTTTTCTGAGGTAAAATTAGTGAGAAAACGGCCGCTAAAGATTAGTTATTTATTTAGCTTAAGAGTCCGTGGTAACTGAAAATTAAAATTTTTTGGGCCTTTCATCAACGTTTTTCAGTAAAATCCACACAGAAATGAGTTCTCTAATGGGCATGAAAGGTGTTGAGCCAAAAAACAAAAATTTGATAAAAATTCACAAACCAACAGAAAAAAGCAAGTTTTTTCACTTTGATTATTTTGACGAGAGCGTGATTCCACAACGCTGGCTCACAAATGTGAGGCATTGCGGTGAAATCAGGCGCTCGTCAAAACAATGACATCGAAGAAAGTGGCATAGTTCCAACAACTTGGCAATTTTTAGATGACTTTTTTTTTCTTGCACAAAAAACTTATGTGTCCATTCAAAATTACATTTTTGTGTGTATTTTACTGAAAAACATTAATTAAAAGCACAAAAAATGTACATTTTCATTTTCCACAGACTCCCATACTATGGAAGTCACCAAACTTTGGTGGCCATTTACTTGCTAATTTTAGCTCTGAAACTAGCAAGCTGAAACCACTTCAATTGTAAACATCCAGACTCAAGATAGATAGTTACTTTTTTCATCAACGGCAAGACAAATGAACAAGCTTTAAGATAATACCAATAACTCCACAGGCTGAAAACTTGACGAGCGCCTGATTCCACCGCGTCGTGACACAAATAAATAACTTATTCAGAGTTCATTCCAACATGGCACAAGTGACATGTCTGTTCCCGAAGCCACAGTGCATGCACAGCTGTGCCGGGGTTTGGAAGACAGGGCCGGTCTTGACGCCAAGGTGTATGACATTCTTACACAACACGCACTTGACCATATTCCTACCGGCTGCCATGTTGTGCCTGCTACACGCCCTGGCCGGCAGAGTCCGCGGCAGATGACACATAGCTCCACACACGACACAGCACAGCTTGTTCTGCCAGGCACATGCTGGGTTCAAACTCCTGTTCTTCATGCTACACACCTGACACATCATTAGGGGCACGGTGGAGGGGAGCACGGGGTCTGCCAGCTGGCGACATCTCACCTCCTGGAGGGGTTGGGGGAGGGGGAGGGAATAGGGAGGGGAAAAGAAAGGAGTAAGGAGGCCCAGGGAGGAGTGGAGGAGGGAGTAAGGAGGGGCAGAGAGGAGAGGGAGAGGGAGGAGGGAAAGGGGAGGAGGG